GAATTGGTTTGAAAAGTTTACAACCTCTCTTGAAGCAGTTGGGTTTAAGCAATCAAAGGCAGATTATTCCTTATTCACATTGGCCATTGCTGATAGTTTTGTTGCAGTATTAATTTATGTTGATGATATTGTTATCACCGGCAATGATGGAGCCAAAATTGCAGCCTTAAAACACTATCTTCATTTTGCATTTTCTATAAAGGATTTGGGTCCCTTAAAATATTTTCTTGGAATTGAGGTAGCTAGAACAACAGAAGGGATAGTTCTGAGCCAGCGAAAGTATGCTCTCGACTACTCACGAAATCAGGCATGCTTGGGGCAAAGCCTATTTCCTTTCCCATGGAGCAGCATCATCGTCTCGGGCTTGCATCTGGTTCACCTATACTAGATCCTTCACAATACAAGAGGCTAGTCGGTCGGCTCCTTTACTTGACAATAACACGACCAGACATATGCTATTCTGTTGGAATCTTGGCATAATCATGGATGAACCCAAACAGGAACACTTTGATGTAGCAATGAAAGTGTTACGTTATGTTAAGAACTCACCGGGACAAGGGATATTACTCTCCTCTTCTAGTCATCCACATCTTGTTGCTTATTGTGATGTAGACTGGGCTAGTTGCCCACGGACACGGCGCTCAACAACAGGTTACTATATTTGTCTCGGACACTCCCCTGTTTCTTGGCAGTCGAAAAAGCAATCAATTGTCTCTCACTCCTCCGCTGAAGCTGAGTATAGGGCCATGGCATCAACTGTCAGTGAGCTCACTTGGTTAAAGTCCTTGCTTTATGATCTTGGGATATATCACTCGAAGCCAATGACATTGTTTTGTGATAACCAAGCTGCCTTACACATTGCCAATAATCCTGTGTTTCATGCGTGCACAAAACATATTGAGATAGATTGCCATTTTGTTCGTGAACGCATTCAAAGGAAGGAGTTACTCACGGCTCATGTGCCTTCTCATTGTCAACCAGCAGATTTGTTTACAAAGGCATTAGGCAAGGAACGACTTCATTTCCTATTATGCAAGTTGGGCATTAAAGACCTTCATGCTCCAACTTGAGGGGGAGTATAGCCGGATATCAAGGAGATGAATAAGGAAATCAATCAATCAACATTAATCTCTGATATTTTACTGTTTATACCAGTAAATGCATCCATACCAGTAAATGCATTCCCTGTATAGAATCACTGATTTAGGCTTGATTATAGCTGACAATTTGTATATATGTATATTGCAATCACAATGAGAAGGATAGGATTTCATGCGCATATCATTGCCATTCATATTCTGATTTTATCACCTCTGAAAAAATAGGTTTCTGAATGACAGGGCCTCTCGCTTGATCAATGTCAAATGGGACACCAAAAGTAGGAAGCGGTGTAAGTATGTCCGAAAAAATTATTACTCCATCCGGACGAAAGGCTTTCCAAGGCTGCAAAGAAATTTTCATAATAAGATCAGTTGTTTCTGATCTCTCTAGGAAGAATGGGTACTTCTCTGCAAGCTTTCTGTAAACAGCGATATACCTTCCTGCTTGGCGCATCATCCATGCTGGAGGCTGACTTATAGGTTCCCCTCTTGCATGCTTAACTAACAGTGGGTCTGAATACCATACAAATGACAATAAAGAGAATATGTAACCGGCTCCAATGATAGGCTTTTATTGAACTTTTCTTCTAAACAAAACCATCAAAGACCATAAGATCAATAATCTAGCCCATCACATTAAGAATAAATTGCGATCCTTCAAAATCATATAAGTGATAAACAAATGCAGTTTTTGCAAATTGTGACTCGGAGAAGACATTCAACCTAAAATGTTAGGCAATTCGATGTTAGGGTTTGCAAACAATTTTCATTTCTAAACAAGGCACCATTGATGCTTTAAACATTACTAGAAACACAAAATTTTAAAATAAACCAAACCTATTTCAACATGCAAAACTTGATTCTGGTCTACCTTTCACCCATTTCAATTTTCAATTTTTTATGGCACAATGGATGTTAGCCCCTTAGCAGTTACACATTGCATAGGTTTTAACCCCCTAAACTTGACTCAAAATCAAAGCTTTGTAATTAGTGGGTACAAACTCTGCTAAACTCTTGTTGGTTGGATTTTCAATTGTTCAACATAAGATTGCTCGTCTCATGTCAACAATCTTCCGCGACATGACAGTATAATTTCGAGTGGCCACATTCACAGAATTCAGGTTCCCACTAAAGCATTCACTTCCAAATTAAATCCCTTCCACATGTATCATCATTGCCAAACTACACGTCACAATTCACCAAGAACCAACAAAGAGACTCACTCTCGGTCTTTTCCTCACTAGGTTCCTTTAACGAGTCAAAGAAATCAAATGACCCTTTAATTTGAAAACCAAAAAATTACAGTAACAACATAAACAACAAACAATATCAACCAAAACCAGAAAGAAGAAACAAAAAACACCCTATTATCAGATTCATTTAACAAAACGCAATTGGTTAAACTAAACAAAAAATGGAAAAAAAAAAATCTTCATGAGATTAATTCGTAAACATTACCAGGAGAAGATGATCAAGAAGATAAAGAAGAGCAGCATACAGAAAATTTCTCGCAATTAAAGCTCGCTCTTCTAGGAAACAGAACAAAAGATCCATTGAAGCTACGATTATCAGAGTACAAACGAAGATTCAAGCTACAGGATTTGAGTCCTTAAGAAACTGCACGCACTGAGTAAAACAACCGGTTATGTAAAATGAGAATTGGAGCTCAAAGAGAAGAAATTTTCTAACAGAAGAATGGAAATTTGTGGGTAAAAAATTGTGGGTATTTGGAAACTGATGAAAAAAACTTACCTGGTTGGCGACGATAAGCCCATTTGTGAAGAGATTTTGAGGGAGAGAGATGGAGTTCGCGCCCTCTTTGTTCATTGTTCTCGAGGAAACGGCAATTTGACTTAAGCTGGTAAGCTCAATTAAAGGCCATGATGTCACCACGTGTGATCCCTGGATTGAATGCTGAACCATAAAATATTATAAAGAGTGATGTAATTGAATTAAATAAAATTGAATTATAATAAATAATTTTATAATTATATTAAGAATTAAGAATGATTCATAAAAATCACAACTAAAAGAAGAATTTTAAATTTATATATATAATTATTATGAATATATTATAACTTTTTATAACTTATAAAAAATATAATTTAAAAAATTATTTTTTTTTAACAAATTCGCAAGGGATCGGATTTGAACCGTTGTCCTGGGAGTGAAAAAATGCATTTATACATGACCTCGTATCATTGGACTCGAAGGCCCAAGTGCAATTTTAAAAAATTGTTAAATATACATATATTTAAATATATGATACAACTATAAAAAAAAAATCCAACAAGCATAATCCTAAATACACCCTTGGTCATAGTAAAAAAGCAAATTGGAAGCTCTCCTGCTTGTTAATCATAGCAATTAAAAATTAAAAATGTATTTTACAATTTAAAGCATACAACACTAACCCCTTGTGTAATTACTGCTAACCACAAGGCATGCTAATATGGTCTAGTGGTAGGTCCAGTACCAGTTGTTTCTTGTTGCCCAACATTGCTTGGGCCAAGCCTAATATAAAGGCCCAGTTACTCTTGATTTGAATGGTCAACCTGGAACGTAGATTTATTTTATCTAACATATCCATCATTATTGGATTTTTTTATTT